GAACATCAGAACACAGAAGGATGTGTCCTCTCCCATGGACATGGTACAGAAAACAGGCTGCCTCATTTTAGAAAGCCAATATGCCAGAGACAAAGAGATTCCTTGTCCAGGACCGCTATCTACGTACACCTGGAAGAGGTAATATTCTACTCCAACTTCCTTCCATTTTCAGAACTAAAATCAAAAGAAGAGAGCTACACTTTCATGAATTGCTTAGAGCTGTTAACAGATCTCCTGAACTACATACCAATCAAACAACAGCAAAACTTTCTAAGTTAGACAGTCCAGCTAAATAGAGGTTCTGTAACGAAAATTGTTAACTGGCAACAAAATTTTTAAAACTTTTTTCAAAAGGTTTAAGATCTTCACCTTGACATGTTTCATGAATTGATACAGTACCTAATAAAACATCTTAGGTGGTGACTTTCAGGTTGGCATACAGTTGTTAGAGTAATAATTCAAGATTTAACCTAGAGCTCGATTACACCACTGTCACTGCTCCCGGGCTATTTTTGCCAGGCATAGAGCATTCCAGTCATTGTTCCTAATGGGCTGTCTGGCTGCCAAGTAATAACTACTTACATTACCAGGTATCATCAAGGGAAATCTCTTTCAGGAACACCTGGAAACCATGAAGATGTATATACTCAAATATCTGGCATTTCTCAATCTGATTTTGGGGATGTTTCAAATATTTACTGGAGGTTAGACAAAACAGTGCGTGATAACTTCCTGTTCTGCAGAATTCATAAATAACCATACCTCTAATTACAAAGACAAAACATCCATCTTGCCAGCAACTTTTACCCTAACTGCAAAACTTAGTTCTTTCTTCTAATGAAGTGTTCCTGGCATGAAGTACTTATGGGAGCAAGAGAAAGCACCTGGTTTAAAAAAAACGTGGTGAAGTCCGTTCTAACTGATTCAAAAGCAAATTTTAATACAAATTTTATGTGTCGACTATAAAACAATAAATTGTATTGTTTGTATTATTTACTTCTAAGAACTTTATTACAAATACATTTTGGGAGATTTTTAATCTCAAGCTGATCTTGTGACAATGTTACCACCTGTGATGTAGGTAGAGGGAAAGCCAAAGGAAAGCCAGGAGCTGACTGAAATCACCTAACAATAATTATAAAGGTCTTATTAACTAAATTAGGTCCTTTCATAGTCATTGTTAATTTTCAGTGAATCACCTGAAAGAACTATTCTAATTGTATATTTCTGACAAACATGAGATACGTACGGCTTCACTATAGCAATTTTTTGCTTCTAGTAAGGTGTAGGAAAAGATCCAACTGATTCTTTACCCCGAAATTTTATTAATTAAAGCACAGTCATAACCTACAACCAACTATCCCAAAAAGCTTTATAATGAGATTCCACTTTTCTGAACTTTTTAAAAGTTGGTGACAGCTATTTAGAAGCACTGTCTTTTAAAACAATCAATATCTTGAAAATAAGACATAATATAATCACATTCACAGATGGAATTTATATGAGTACTTGATTATGTTAATAATCTAAATCCAAGTATTGAATATCCATAATGAATATCAAGTGAATTCATACTTAATTATTTGTTTCTTTGGATTTTCTATGAGAAACAAGCAGTCACCTAGTGACTTTTAGAAAACATTTTCCAAAACTTGAATAGTTTATTTAAAGAAAAATATCTAAACTCCCCAACATTTTTATTCTTCAAGTGAACAAAAAATTGGGATTCAGTCACAGAATATTGTCATTAGGGAACCAAAGTAAACAATCTTCTGAGACCAAAAGGTCTCTGAACACTGTACTCTTCCTATTAAATGTTACTATAATTAGAAAACTTAACAATTTAATCTGATTGTAAGCATAGAGTTTTAGTTTGGCTCTATTTCTTTTATTTACATGAAAGTTAGAAATGAAAAGCATAAAATGTTCGTATGTTCAAGTAAAATCACTTTGAGACCATGTATTATCCTCAAATTTCCTGAAGACCATTTTCCAAATTTTTCAATTGAATGCTTCTTAAAACTTAGAAAAGATTTTCTGGTACGGTAGGATTAGGTTGGTGTCCAAATACATATAATTATTTGTCTGTCTCCTTGGGTTTCGGATTATATCAAATATCAACCAATTCTTTACACTCATTTTTATATAATACCAGCTTACATTAGATGATGAATGGAGAAAAAATAATGATTATAACTTTAGTTTATGAAATTATATAAACAACTGTATTATTTAGGTCCATCACATGCCAGGCACTGTCCCACTGTCCTGGGCATGAACGCAATGGCGACTGGACAGCTATGGCCATGCCCTCTTCAAGCTTGACAATATGTGTCTTCTGAAAGTTTTTATGCCTCATACTTTGAAGTTTCATTTGCTTTCCATTTGTCTCTAAAACTCTCAAAGGTTCGTGCATTATGAAATTATTTAACAGAACTATCTTAGGAGGTTCAATTTGGGGTGATTAAATATCGTCATAAGAGTGAACAAAAATGAAAAGATAATAGGATGCAAAGAAGTTCAAAATTTTAAGATCTCAAAATTCTCATATTCCCTCTAACAATCTTCATTTTTTTTAAACTACTGACAAATATACAATTAGGTTCAAGCAGTTCTTTTAGCTGTATTAAATTTTATATCACAAGGTACACATACATTGCTGAAATTCTTCCTATACACTCTACAAGGAATGTTTCACTATATTTTTGAGGAATGCATTGGCTGTTATCAGATAACTGTTTTATCATCAGTCACATTTTCCATCAAAGGATGAATCAGTTGTCATTTTAAGGAAAGTTATTTGGTTTGTATATTTTGGAGGAGGATTATTTAAATCATTATAGAACCCAGGAAATGAAATGGATAAACTTAATCATGTAACTAAGTTTCACCTGTAGTTTCACCTTTGAGAAGGTAAAAAAAGAAAACGGACAAAACAAAAAGATCTCATCTATAGCAATACTAAACCCTGACAAAATAAATATGCATTAATTTTATTTCAACACTCATGCGGCTTGTTTATTGCTTAGTTTGAAATACCCATATTTTTGTGTCCCCAGACACCTCTGTGGTTTAAGTGTTTCTTAAAGACTGGAAAAATACAAATCTTTAAAGGCAAGCACTCAGTTTTTATAGCAACTTATGCATAACCTCACTATTAACACTTTCGCCAAAACACTTGCTCATATTAAAGCATTACCTTCGGGAGCACCATTCCATTTTCTCAGAGAAACTTGAAATACTATTAAACTTCCCACCTTTTATTATTTCCTTCCACTTTTTCATAATTTTGCACAGAAAATGCATATTAAAAATGTTTGTATACTCACCTCTTTGAATGAAAATTAGTTTTATGAATAGAGTAGAAGTTGCAGTGGCCAATTGAAGTAACAAAAGTGGATGTGTGCCTCCTTGAGGGAAATTCACAGGGGTGCATGCAGTTTAACTGCACTGTCATTTGGCAAACCAATGACAGAATTTTTCAATTAATTAAAACACATGCCCACAAATACACAAAACCCCTGAATTAGTGGGGTAGTATTCAGAAAGATCAGTATGCCAAAAACGTAAAGTGCTGTATCGTACCATAAACTTTCCCAAAGTAATTTTTTATATATTTTGACAGCATTTAAACAAACATACTTCAAATTAATGCCACTGAATAATCAATTAAAAAGCAGTAAGAATTTTCTTTGAAATATTTTTTAATGCATCAACAACACTAAAATACAAACCTATTTTTGATAATCATCACTATGTATTTTAAAGAATACCCAGGCATTTCTTTATTTTAATATACAGATAATTTCAGAATAAAATCAGAAATACTATATTTGTGATACCGTCAAATTACTAGCAAATAAAATGGAAGTTTGATAGTATTGATTATCGATGTTTTAGTTTCTTAAGATAATTTAGTCAACTAAATCACAAATACATTTGGAATGAGGTAATAACAGAATTTTCCAGTAGACTTTCATGCACAAAATAGAGTCTGGAGATTTACTTTCAAGTTGTACCCCTCTATATCATCATGCAGACAATTTATAATAATTGTATCATTTCCTACCATGTAATTGTGTGCTTTTAAATTTACACTAAGTAAATTATGACAAGTACAAACAGGCATGACTGAGAGAAGAGCTGTGGAAAAGCCCTTATGCCAAAATAAATATATTGAAAGAGTAAAGCCCCTATCTAAAATGATCCTCACTTTTTTTAGGCAAAAAATGTAACATCTGAGTTAATAAAATGTTTAATGGAACTGAAACAGACATACCAGCTCAAGAAAAAAGTGTATGTGTGTATGTGTGTGTGTGCATGTAATACATTTATTTACACTATGGGCACTGCAGGCTTGAAATAGCAAATCAAAGTAAAATAGTAATTGTAAGGATTAAAGAGGACAGCTGTTTGAATACTTCTTTAGTGCCTAAAACCCCCTGAAGTTCTCAAAGATTCTGGAAAGAACGAGTTCACAAAAAGTTTCTCTACAGACTATTTTCACTTCGGGAACTTTCCAGGTTTCAGGAATGCCCCACTCTAAGGGGAGCCAGCACTGTTTCCGGATTGTATCAGCAATTGTATTTTTCGTTCTAATTAGTGGTTAATGAATTCTAGTTATAGCTTCATCAACATTTTAACCCTTCCTATAACGTACTAAAATTCTGTCTGAAGCAAGATAAAACTTGCCATCCCACTACTCTCAAATAGGCAAGGCAATACAAAGAGAAGTTTTGGGTGATGCTAGTTGTGGAACCAGAACTGGCCAAAGAGGGGGGAGGGTCAAAATAGTCGTGTTTTATTTTCAGAGATCCTTGAACTGGCCACAGCCATCATCCTTGCTGGGACAATATCCTCAGAGTTGAGTATAAATACAAGACCTAACTCCCAAGGGAGGACGTGGTTCCCCCCCAGGAGCAGTTTTCATCAGCATCTAACTGCAACAAAACACATACTTCCACCCAGGAGCCCCCGAGTACACACACGCGGGACTTTACCTGTTTTTATGCCGAGTCTTCAGCAAGTTTCTTCCAAAGGGAGCCATGGTCCGCCGGGCAAGCGAACAGCCAGGACCGTGTCTCAGAGTTATCTGGGAGTGGGTGGTGGGGATGTCTGGCTTTCTAGGGTGAAGGGAGGAGAACTGGAAGCTTCCTCTTCACCTCCTCAGATGTTCCTGGCTTTCAGCTCGTTAGTAGCCGCCTAGGAGAGTTGCTAGACGTTGTGCAACTGCTGCTTAACTTTGAACTGCGGGATTGTTGTGGCTGCTGCACCTTTGGAGACCTGCCCAGCTTCAGCCTCCGAGAGGGCGTCTGGAGGCAGGAAAAGGAAAAAAAGAGAGGGAGAGAGAGGAAGGGAGGGGGACGCTATTGTGCTCTACAGTTATTTGCAGACTTGCTAAACTTTAAGAACTGCCTGCCCCGCAGGCATGGTGATACCCGCGGAATGGGACTCCCACTCTATTTGGAAACTCCCCCTTCCCCGCTCTCCACACCCAACCACACAAGGTGAAGTGAACGCACAGAAAAGTTTAAAAGTAAATACACCCACCTCCCAGCTGGCTCCAGTCTGTGAAACGTAATCTGACCGTGGCAGGCAGGAGTGAGGGCCAAGAATTCTTTGCCTACCGATTCGATAGAAAAATCCCCTGCCCGGGGTGTCCGTGCTGTAAAATACGTCGAGGAGCGAAGCTGGAGGCCAGATCACGGTGGACTCACAGGCCACCAGGGGCTCTGAGCCCCCGAGTTTATGACCCTAAGAGGTCTGCCCGAACTCCTTCCCTCCACTCTTTTAAGTGCGTCTTCCAAAAGGTGGAGGGCCCGAAGGACCAAAGGGCTCCAGGGCTGAATGGTCATCGCATTGGCGTCGGAACCAGCCAGGTCTTGGGTCCCGACTTCGCCCCACCTTTGGGCCTTCTGGGCCCCGGGAGTTTGAAGGAAGAGCCAACTGCTTGCTCTCGCCCCTCGACTAGTAAAGTGGAAGAGGACGCGCCTGGAGGACTTTCTGGAAGTCGAGGTGTTCAGTGAAGTTCGAGGGGCGGGCGAACATCATCTGGTCCCGCGGGAGCTCGAACCCGGGACCGCGGCAGCCGGGGCAGAGCTGGGAGAGGGGACGCGGGTGCGGGC